GGGCAGATGGAGCTCGTTAGCCCGTAAGGCAATCCATCTACGTCCTGAGGACCTCGCTGCCACCGTCCAAGCGTGCTTGGCCCCAGCAGATGAACCTCAGGATTAAAGGGTGGGCTCAGTTCCGCGCACACTGTGTCTCACCTAAAAAATCCAATGCGCAGGCTGGAAGGTGGAAAGACCTTCCCCGGTTCTTCGTTCGCGAAGAGACTGGCCATACATACAATATTTTTATTTGGGTGTATTGGGGGAGAGGGCACTGCTGAGAAAATTATGTCTGCATTGGAAAAGAATTAAGTTTATTATCATCTCTTCTCTTCTGGGAAGGTGGAGCATTCCTGAAGTACATCATAGGTTTAGAGAGTAGTTCTATTGTGAGACTTTAAAATACAAAACAAATTGAGTTCTTTACTGGTTCAGGTATACAATAATTGATGGTAACTTTTTATGCTTCTATTACCTGAAGTCCTAATTAGGATTTGGGTGAACGCCTTTAAAAAATAAACAAACAAACAAAAAACAAGGGAATAAAGGCAAGTAAAAGACCTCTTTAACAGGCCTACTCTTTTGATTTTGGTGGGTTTTTTTGAATGGCCCAGTCAGTCCTCATGTGCCTCAGGGATTCATGCTGGGAGCAATTCTGGTCAACATCCTCCTTCATGACCTAAAGAAGATAGTGAACAAAAGTTTGTGGGCAGTGCTAAATTCTGATGAGTAGCCAAATTCTATGCCAAGGAAGAGAACTCAAAAAACTCTCATAAAACAGAGTGGGTAGCCAAAGGGGTAGAGGAGCTTTAAATGCAAGGTAAAGCACCTAGGTAAAAGTAGTCTAAACCTACTTTTACACACTATTGAGCTGAATCACAGTGCAGGAGTCATCATTGGCAGTTCTATAAATTTATGGATCTGGATTTCATAGAATATTCCGAGTTGGAATGGACCCACAAGGATCATCGAGTCCAGCTCTTAAGAGAATGGCCCAAACAGGGATTGAATGCACAACCTTGGTGTTATCTGAAATCATTGTCTCAGCACAAGTTATTTTCAAAAAAAAACAACAGTATGTCATTATCACCATTTTACCAGAAAGGGTTTTGAGAATAAGACAGAGATGATGTTTTGTAACTGTACAAACCCATAGTGCGCCAATTTTTTAAATACTGGGTAAAGCTTTACTGTCTACATCTCCTGAAGGAACTGTGATACAAAGAAGACGGAAGTAATGCAACGGGAAATAGAGTAGCTGCCTTAAAAGTTAAAATTCAGAAGTCAGGGATGAAGAGAAGAAGGCTGAGGCGTATATCCAATCCAAGCTGACAAAATCAGAAAAACACTGAATAAACTGGATGTGGAGTTTTTCACTAAATTGTGTAATACAAGAAACAGGTGGTATTCAGAAGTAGTAAGCAAAGACAGATAAATTAGCAGCTACATTAACGTGTTTCTTTACACATCAAGTTTAAGCCTCTGGAGCTTATTGATACATGTGGTTGTGAAGTGGGCAGTGTCAGCCAGTTCAGAAGGGGGTTAGACACATTCATGGGGAGCCTGGGTAGTAATAGGACTGGACCAGAGATAATACTAGTACAACAATCTTGGATACTGGAAAAGTGCAGTTTTACTTTGTACATTCTTATGCTTTAGTTGTTTATTGAAGATTTTTGCTCCGAGTTTTAAATGGACTTGCGGTAAGAAGCTAATCAAGTTTGAGAGAATGGTGTCTTCCTGTTGTGATCCATTGGTATTGCTCAGTGAAAGGAAGTGTAGACTGAGCCTTTATTTTGCCTGGTGTCATGTACATCTTCACGTCTTCCGGTTTCTTTGTATCCAGATTTATCCAATTTATTCCAAGTGATGGAATACTGTAGCTAAATGAATAACATTTGAGCTGATGCACGGTGACCAACCAAATGCAGCAATTACCTGCCCCTCTTGCCAAGTAAAACACAGTAGCTTAAACTGTGATTTAGTCTGACAAATGATTTGTGGTTTAATCCTAGTACCTCCTGATTCACACACCAACATACAGTCACTTACTGCAATTTGGATGATGAATGTTAACTCATTAGGCTCCAGTATTGAATTTTTTTCCAACTGAAATCACTGCCCTTCAGTGCACTTTTCTATATTTTCTCCTCCTTTTATCAGGCTTCTCCCTCACAGTATTCATGCTTTAGTCTTACTTAGGAAAAGGCTGTGTGTTTGAGGATTAGACATGAGTATAACTTGGTAAGACCCAGAACTGTGTATTCAATTCAACAAATGCTGTTTAGATCACTTGGTGTTTTGGTAACTGATGTAATGTCAAATCCGCTGATCCAGTGAAACTTGCATGCAGTCTTGGCTGTGGAAGCAAAGTCTTACAGAGCTGAATCCATGATTGCATAGCTTTTGAAGAGAGTCCTTGTCAACACAAGTGCAACAGAGCACCATCTCCTCTCTATCTGTGACTAGAAGAAAGAAATGAGAAACTGCTTTGTACCAGATGGTGATTCCTTCTAAGTGAAGTAGGAGTCCTGACCTTAGTATTTTCTATAAAGTTCAGTTCACTCTTTGTATCTTGCAGAGAATATATTTGGTTCCACTTTACATCTTGCTGTATTTGGCTTGTGCACAGAAGATTGCAGGTCAAATAAGCATGAGGGAATCACAAAAAATAAAGCTGTGGGAAAGGCAGAAAGAAGGGAAGGAGAATCAACCATAAATGTTTCACATCTCTAACCACTGAGCTGTTTTCTTGAGGTCAGATACCTCTGCTCAACATTGGCAACCAAAATAGTCCAGTAATGGCTAGCTAGGAAATTACTGTGTTTAAATGTGACAACAAAGAAATTGCAATTAATAATGCTAGTAATTCTTACTTGCTAACACACACTTTTTACTGCCTTGCATCTGGGTTGTTATATCATGTTGCAAGCACGAAGCTTTGAACATCCTTGAGACAGTTACCATGCTCTTAAACGTTCAGAACCTACCAATATTGAAAAGAGTGAATCAAACATGTAAGCAAAGGAGCAGAACATAGATCACTTTTTTCTTTTGATGATTATTGTCTGTATAGCTAACTATGAACAGACAGAATGATAGAAGTTAAAAAATATGCATCAGCAATGCTTGCCTCTTTTAGTAATCTAGAAATTAATATTTGAAATGTAAAAGCTGAAGAGTGTATGTAATGAAGCTAAACATGGATTCATCCAACATAGGATGTTGACACAGCATATTTCTTGTCTCAGCCTGTAGAAAATCTTCCTCTTAGCAGAAGGGGGGCAATCACTCTGTCTGATGTCTTTCTGAAACTATTAAAATTTCACTGTCACCACAATTTTCCTCTGAATGTTAAATGAAGAATCTGCTGCATGATCTGAAGTAGAATCCTTTTTTGTCTTTTTAACCACTCTTGTAGCAAAGGGTGTGTAGAGACCTGATCCTCCTCTTTCACTTGCAGATCAGTATTAGTTTTAATAGGACTGCAGAACTGAGGGATAAACTGAGCCTCAATTCAGGCTGTCCTGTAGTTTGACTTCAGCTATTATCCTTGTTTTGCAGACAGGTTAGGGTCATTAAGACCTCTTGGTGCATACAAAGCCCTGACAAGCCTCACCTGGACCTTCCACCCGTGTACATTTTGCCCAGTTCCCCAGAGCTCCGCTTAAGCTCAGGTCCCTTGGCTTCACCTGAGGTCCATCATGGTGTCCCTGTGCTCACCCTGTCCCTGCTGTCTCGGTTTTCTCACTGGGCTCCCTGGATTGTCCTCAGATGTGACTAATTACCTTTCTGTGTCTACTGATCACCAGACTGTCACTGCCACCACCCTTACCCTGTCAGTGCGTTGTCCTGGTCAGGGAGATACCTGTTCCTGCCTGGCTCCTGTCTCTTTGCAGACACAGCCTTGTGGAGCAGCCCAGCTCTTCTTTTTCCCTGGCAGTTAGTTCAGGCTTCTGGGAAGGGCCTGCAGTTAGTTTGCTGCCAGACATACTGCAGTGCAGCATGGCTTATGCAAGGACTGTGGGCACTGGCTTGAGCTTAAATGGGACTCCTGGAACCACGGGCAGAGGGGATGGCTGAAGGGCTCAGGTGAGGCTAGTGAGGACAAATTAAGGGAAATCAGTGCACTCGGACCCTGATGCAGAAGAAATGAAGATTGGGTAACTTATTGGCATTGGAAACGAGAAAGTGAAGAAGTTTTGTCACTATTAATATTTACCTAAGAGTGTGGAGAGGCTGTGGCACAGTGGCAAACAGTTGATTAGTTTACATGTGTGCTCAACTCTGATATTGCTAAAGCATTTTCTTTCTTATTTAGAACATGAGTGAATAGGATCGAGAATGGTACCTGAGTGTAGGATATTCAATCCTGGCAGTGTCTAAGACTTCTCATTAGCTTGTCC